GAATTGGCAGGTTCCTAATGTAACCTTCCACTGCATCTTGCCAGCTCTTAATCTACCAAGGCACCTCCTCATGATGATCACTCATGCCCTGGGAAAAAGCAGGCACTGAGCTCTTGATATGCTTTTGGCTGTCATTCTAGTACTGTTCAATATCTTGGAACATCTGTGTGGAGGGACAGTGGGTGTGGATGGACCTTGTAACCTTGCTGTCGAACTGGAGGACTTGCTTTCTACGATGGCCTGAAATGTCAAACCCATATCACCATCAAAATGATGCAAATGCAGCAGTGGCATCTTACTCCTGCCCAGCTGTATTGACAGCCTTCTGGGAGCCTGGAATTGCATTAGATAGAGCATGTTGCAACAGTCTTCAGCTGCAGTAAAGCTCCCAGTATGCAGAGCTCCAAATTGATCAGACAGTCTTGCATTCTGGGACCTGAACTCTGTGAATTTTTTTTAGCGTCCAATGGCACATCTTTGACTCTGCCTGTCCTTGAATCCTGCAACTCTGCTGTATCTTATAGCATTGTGGCTGTGGTGGCAGATCTCGTCTAAGCACATTTTACTGGTATCTGTGGTGTTTCCACTTCAGATTTGCGTGGAAACTAGACACCTTGCTGATTGTGAGATTGGGAATGATCAGTGTCCCTGGACGGTATTCTGGTCAACAGGCTAAACTGTACAGTAAATTTAAGTCATGGCACAAAGCCTGGGTGGTGGTATCAGAAAGGCACATCTGGAATGCTTAAGAAGCTTTGAAGATAGTTAAATTAATGTTTTCCTTAATTGCTTTATAGGCCCATTTAGTACAAAATGGCCTTTAGCAGGATGATATTATAGATCTGATATACTTTGTGTTCTTACACGGCCATGTCATGCCATCTGCCTGGTCAATACTCTAATGGCAAACTGTGAGGAAAAAGCCAGGGACGTGGTGGTGGTTTGGCACTGCCTTGGCCTGTTCGAAAGTGCTGTGCTAATTAAATTATTGCCTTTTGAGTGAGGGAAAGTAACCTGAGTTCCTGACCTTGCAGGCTTTGAATAGTGTCACTTTCTCAGAAGAGTCAGTATGTTAACTGTAGGTGCAGTTCGAAAACTTGAACTAGCTGCATTCTGTCTCCTTCAATTGATGCTGCAGTTTCAGTTGCTTATCTTTTTTATGCTACACAGTATTGGTGTTTATGTTAGAGCTGGTAGAGGTAGGTGCACTCTGGTGTTGGATCAAGTGATTCATTGTGTGCATCTGCCCATTGACACGTGTGCAGTTTGAGCTCTAGGATATCAGGTGCTGTGTAATGACTTATTGTTAGTTTGAACTGTTTTTGAATGTTCCTTGTTTGGGGGAAGTAAGAGCTGAGTCATTAGTTCAAGGTCCATGGTTGTTGGTGGCAGCAGTACTAACTACTTCAACTGCAGATAAGTGGCTCAACTGTAGAGACTGAGACACGAGATTAATATTGCAATTGGGAAGGCAAACAGTATGAGACATGGGCTATCTGGCAGAGCTCAGACATCAGGGTCTGTTCTTTCCAAGGCACAGAAATCACCTGGAACCAGTCTCTTCAGATAGTTAAGAGCTTGTAGAATCTGCTGTAGTTACTTGTTGGAACCGCTGACTGTCGAAGCCTTTCCTGAATGCTTGGGAGCCAGGTTTGCGTGTGCTGAGAGGTCCAGTCTGATCTGAGATGGCAAATGGCAGGGGAGCTGGAAATGCTTTGTTTTGAATGGTTTTTTGTTAACTCACTGAGTTCACAGAGCGAAGTTAGAGAGGCTGGGCATTGGCAGACAGGTTTCCAGCATAGCTTTCAAAGTGAGAAGGATCACTTTTCCTTGCATTACTTGCTTTCTAATTTGGAAGGCAAACCTAGCCATCCCTCTCTGTGGGACTCAAGATCCTTTTCTGTTTGCCTATCTGAAAAATATCTAAGAGGAGATGCTGTCCTCTCTGAGGCTGACATAGTGTCCATACGTTGGTCCTGGATTGTCTGCAGTCCAGGCCACTCACCAGAGCCCTGTACCATTTGAGGGTTCATTTGGTGCCTTCTGGCTCTAGCCACTGATTCTGATGTTGTTCCAGTGACACCTATTGGGCATACGGATCTGGGCTTGAAGGACCATGTGCTTTGTTTGGTTCATGAATTGTGATTTATCAGGTTTGGAAATCAATTTAAGGACCTTGGGGGAGAGCTTGTGCATTCTTACAGCAAAGGCCCACTTTGCCATGCTTGAGCTTAGCTCTGTCACACAGGCTGAGTTTGGTGAAACACAGCTGCTGGTCTGTATGGGGATGGTGCCCAACTGTCCCCTTTGCATATGAGTATGTGGTCTCACAGAGTACACCTCTAACGAGTACGCTGTGCCTGTGACATTATTTGCTGGCACCTCCAGTCTTTCTGTTGTTGTTCTTATGTTTCCGCCATCATCACAATATGGGAGTGCATCACGCATGTCCATGGATTTCTCTTCTCAACTCTTGGCATGGAGTGAATAAATTACCTATCTAAGGCCACATAAGAAAGCTCTGATAGTGCCTTATCCACAGGACCATGACTTTTCAGGATATACCTCCACTTTAAAGACAAGGGCAGCTGTAAACAACTCTATTGCTATAGCTCTTGAGCTCATGGCCAGCTGCCTGGAAACTTCTTGGCTGGGCGGAGTCTGGGCTACCATGGGATAAGCTGTTTGATGTTGGTCTTGTGGCCTGGCTGTGGCTGTGTACAGTTGTTCAGATGGTCATTTCATCACCCTGTCCTGGTCTTGTGCATCTTTCGGGTACCTTGTCCTCCCCAAATGCCCTCTTCCTCCGCATGTCTGTGTCATGTGACGGTCAATCACTCCTTTATGGCCTGTACCCAGTGCTGCCCCTGCTGCCTCAGTTGTGTCCCTAACATTTTGCATAGGGACCAGCTTCTGTATATTGGTGGATTCCATCTCTTGTGTTGTCTGAGTTGCAATAAAATATCAATGGAAAGGGAAAATAAGAGAGTGCCAGCTCTCACAGCTGGGACTGTGGGTGGGTTGGTGACTCTGGGCTGTAAGAGTTGTTGGTTGTAGCCATGTTGGTAAGTGCATAGGCAGACAAAATTCTTTGGGTAGATGTGATATCTTTTATTAGACCAACTAAATAGTTGGAAAAATTGTTCTTCGTAAGCTTTTGGGCACAAACACTCTTCTTCAGGCAGTAAAGCGTCTGTGCCCGAAAGCTTGCAAAGAACAATTTTTTCCAACTGTTTAGTTGGTCTAATAAAAGATATTCCATCTACCCAAAGAACTTTGTCTGGGCTGTAAGATTGCCTAGATGTTGTGGCTGCAGCTCTCACACATGGGGCCCAGTGGGTGTCCCAGCACAAGTGGCTTTCATTTCTACAGACTCCAGATATTAATAGCTTGTTTGCTTTGTTTTAATTCAAGCTTTAATTGCTGGGCTTCAGTTTGTAATACAGGAAGAACTGGGGTTCAGGAGCCCTGCTAGGGTATGGGAGGTAACAACATGCCTGGCAATGTCTTGGTTGAGAGCCTAAGCAGTGTGGGGCCTAAGCAGTATCATACATGGCGCTTCTGGGCTGGAGCTCTGCAGGCTGGCGATGGAAGATGTAGCAACTGCTGCTTGGTGTTTTTGATGTCATCTGGAAGCATGCTGGCTGTGTTTTAAATGCACTGTGGCTTGCCCCCTCTCTTGCTGGGCAGGGCCAACCTGCATCTCGGTGGGAAAATGTAGCTCTCAATGCACGTTTTGTTCTCTTCTGCTGCTGGCGGGTCACAGCTCCTAAGGAAACTGTTCCTGCCCTACCTTGGAGTTTGAAAACATACCATCTAGATGGCACTGGATGTATGTGGCATGCCTGTCTGTCTGTGCATATGGGAACTGTGCCCTCTCTAAAGCTCTGTGCATCTCCTGGCTTAATGAACTGGCACAAAGGAGAAAGAACTTTGTTTTTTTCACCTCCTCACTTGAACTTTCCCACCTCTCCCTGCTAGGGCTTCACACACAGGGCCAAATCATCTGTTAGTAGAAGTCCACTGGTATTATAGGAAATGCACTGGGGAGACCTTGCCTTGTTGTCAGTGAGACTCCAGGAAAGGTCAGGGACCCTCTCTGTGGGGTGAAGTCACTTGGCTCTTGCGTGGTGGATGTTCTTCGTGGGGCTTCAGGCTAGCTAAGGTTGGCTGCTCCCAAATTCCGTGGGTTTTTTGTTAGGTGATCTTGGGGGAGTACTTCAAGGTGGCAAAGCATTGTCATGGTGGGTGGGGAGGGCAGGAAGTAAACAATCTTGCTCTGTAGAGCAAGGGAGGAGCTGCAGCTCTAATTCCTATTTCTCTACAGTAAACTCTGAGAGAGAACGGGCAGGGCTGTGTGGTGGAGCCTGTCTGTCATCTCTGAGTCTGTGCTGCTCCATCACATCCAGGGCCAACCTGTTCTTGTGCATTTGTTGGTTTCCAGGGTGTGATTTCTCTGTGTGCAGGAGCAAACTCCAGGGGAAGCCAGAATGAATATTCCAGAGAGAAGCACATAGCCTGGGTCCATACTCTGGAACAGACAGGGCCAACTCTTGTGTCTGTGAGGGGGGAGATTTCCCCTGTGCCTGGGATGCGTTTTTGGGAGTAGCATCAAAAGTTATTCGCCCGCAGCCTCATTGCTGCATGTGTCTAGCTCTGTATAATCTGTTTCAATTTTGTTCCCTTACGGGAAAGTTGTTGCATGTCCTGGGACATCCTGGCTGGACACCCTGTCCTTCCTTGCTGGGCTGTGATGTGCACTCTGTTCACTGCCCATGCTACTTGCCATTCAGGCCCTGGGTGCAGTCTGATCCAGGCTTCCCCTGTTCAGGAGCTCTGCCGGGGCTCTGCTAACATAGGGATCAACCTAGCTCTGGCTACTGAGATATCCCAAGCTTCTGCCATGTTGTGGAGAGGCTCCTTGCTCCATTACACACATGCTTCTGGGTCCATGGCTTTGCCCCACAGTCTCCCTGTGACATCTGGCATTTCATCTCCAGGTGATGACAATTTTGGAAGGAAGGTCATTGTGGTCAGTGCCTGCCGGATGCCTCCCAGCCATCAGCTTGATCACACCAAACTGCTGGGGTGAGTACTGTCTTGAGAATACAGTGCTTCAGCTGTGGCCCAAGTCCAAGGTAGTTCCTGAGTGCTGGTCTGTAGAAGCCATATCTACAAGCATCTGTTGTTTCAGCTAGGCATGTGTGCTTTCTTATAATCTCCAGCCTGGCACAGGTGAAGTTACCCCTGCACACTGCTTGTCTCCAGTTTTGCTACCCAGTAAACTTTCTCTTATGCTAAATAACAGACAGAGGCCTTAGGGAGCAAGGGTATTTGTATGCCAGTGTACTGGGAGCTAAGAAGTTCCTGTCTACCTCCAGGTACCTGAAATTCACACTGGACCAGTATGTGGAGAGCGATTACACGCTGGTGTATCTGCATCATGGGCTGACTAGTGAGAACAAGCCATCCCTGAGCTGGCTGCGGGATGCCTACCGGGAATTTGACCGCAAGTGAGTAGGTGTGACCAGTGGGCTGAAACACCTGAGTTCTCTTCTACTATCTGGTTTCCTGTGTGTGCCTGGTGAGTCCTTTCCCCTTCTGTAGCATGGGGATCGTGATCTCCCCAGCCACCCTATTCCTGCTTCCTGAGAGGCGGTGGAAATGACTTGATATTTGGCGAAGGCTTCGACACTAGAGTTTTAGAACAGGAGAATTGGGTGTGAAGGATCCTCTCACAATTTGTTCTTCAAGCCCAGTCTTTTGGGTCCCTGTTTTTCCTGTATTTCCTATTACCTGACCACCAGCACCTCTACCCCCTCTTCTGAGCCACTCCAGGACTTCGCTGGGGAGGTGCCCTGAGAGTGAGTGAGCTACTGTGTCATCTGGACAGTTGTACCAACTCCTGCATGTGGCTGGGCCAGTATTTGGAAATGTGGGGAGAGTGGGGGCCCAGAACCTTGTGCCCCTTCCAAATTAACCCTGCCCCACAATACATAAGGGTATGGAGAGAGGGACTTGGCTACCATGGTCTCGCCAGATGCCAGCTGCTTCTCACTCAGCTTCCCTTGACAGATACAAGAAGAACATCAAAGCGCTATACATTGTGCACCCAACTATGTTCATCAAGACGCTGCTGATTCTCTTCAAGCCCTTGATCAGGTAGGAAGCAGGGGAGCAGACTCCCAGCTCCACAGTGGTAAAGTGTACTGTTCCTTAGCAGATCATGATAGCTCCTAGCTATCTCCTGCTGCATTCACCCCCCAGGGGACATGCCACCTCTTGTTTCTGAGCTAGGCAAGATCTCAGTCTGGCGAGATCTCAGCCCAGCAAGAACTACTCTGCATACCTAGAAAGCTCTGGACCTGGACCCTTATAACAACCACGCATTCCATCTGTGGCTTTGAGACAGGAGGGGAAGGAATGGAGCTCCCTTCCCCTTTCATTGATGGAAATCCCCACCCTCTCTGTGTAGCATCTGAAAAAAGGGGCTGCCTTCAGCCTGCTCCAGAGCCTCAGGAGGGAAAGTCCAGTGCTATATTCAGCCCAGCTCTGCTAGGTTTTGTGCCAGACCGTGAGAGGTCATGAAATCTCAGTCACGTACATGTGGTTGAGTAGAGAGTGAGGACTGCAGGATGTGGTATTCCTATTGCTGAACCCATCCAGTCCAGCACTAGTGATACATGTGTCCTCTGCCCTGCAGACCTCCTGCGGTTTCCCCATCCAATTCTGAGTTCTGGCCTTGGTGATCCTTCATGTACTTTCTTTCCTTCTGTTTTGCAGCTTTAAGTTTGGGCGGAAAATTTTCTATGTGAACTTCCTGAGTGAGCTGGAGGAGTATGTGAAAGTGGAGCAGCTGGGAATCCCAAGCCAGGTGCTAAAGTGAGAGCACTGCCTGCCTGTTCGCCTCTGGCTCTGTGAGAGGAGTCCCCTTCACAGAGGCAGAAGAGAAGAGCTAAGGAGGAAAGCAAAGCCAAGGGGGACTGAACTCATGGGGAGGAGCGGGCTTGTTTTGTAACTAGAGGGGGAAGGGTCTAAAGTAGCAGCACCATGGTGCCTTGGACACAATGGTCTTTCAGATCCCTTTCCTTGTTTGCGGCCCTGTTGTCTGGTTGCAGAGTCAGACACCCTCCAACTGTTCTCCCTTGCTGTTCCTACCCTTGTCTCATCTCAGGCTGGTAGCCTTGGCCCTGAGTTCTTTCTCCAGTACTGCATTTCTCTTTCTTCTTTCTTCCTCCTCCCCCCTCTAATCTCTCTGCTGCTTATCTGCTTAGCTGCTCAATCAGATTTTCTTGCTTCACTTTTCCCCTGTGACCTCTCAAAGTCCCTTTTACCCTGATGCATTCAAGCACCATCCAAAAGTGCTGCATAGTTGCTTGCCTGGTCTGTGTTTCCTATCCACCCTCTTTGCTGGCAGCTGTGTGTGTTCACTTGCTGCCTCAGCACTCTGGAGCTGTTTGCCCTTGTCTCTTTGTAGGGGATCAGCAGGTGTTATAGCTGGGGCTATCTAAAACAGCTTGTAGTGGGTCAGCAGGATGTGAGGGTAGATGTTGGGCAGCAGGCTCTGGGCGGTTGTGCTCCCTGCAAGCTGGGCTGGCTCCCTACCCATCTTTGTTCTGTTGCAGGTATGACGAATACCTGAAATCACAACAGAAACCTTCTCAAGTGCCCCAGAAACCAACTCCTCCACGCCCACCCCTGCCGAACCAGCAGTTTGGAGTCTCCCTCCAGCAGTGAGTATCTGGGAGTTGTGTTGCTTTGGCTGTTGGGCTGGCTTATGCCAGGGCCTGTATAGAACAAAGTTGGACAGCTGGAAAATGCCTCTGTCTCTGAACTTGTTGCTGAACCTCAGCTGTTTTCAGAGATGCTCCTTTCTTGACCCTGGATCCTGGGTGGTGTCTGAGCCCTGGCGCAGACTAGAACAGGGATTTTTTTCTGCAAGTCACCAAGGGTATGTCTATTCAGTGCAAGGCTCCATGTCATGAGCAGTCTAGTTATGTCAGTGCTATACTATGCATAGCTAAGCTGCTTCTGGTCTGGAAGCTACCATGCCTAGAACCAACACAGGGCTACCCTGCACCATATCGGTTCATTTCAAAATGCAGTGTTGCCTTTTTGCTTGCAGGGGACCAAGACCCATGATGGTAGCTCCACGAGATTTCCTGTAAGCAGGAAGAACTGCCAAGGGGCCAATTAAAGTGGCATTTAGACAGTTTTGCTGGAGCAAACCAAGGATCTGGCCCTTTTTCTCTCCCTTCCCTCTCCTCCTCTTAACTAAGAAGCTATTTTAAAAAGAGCTGCCCTCCTATTCACCCTCGCCCTTTTTCTGCTTCCCCTCCCTTTGTAGGTCACAAGCTACAGTGGCTGCTGCAGAGCAAAGGCAGTACCAGTAAACTATCAAATGTATTTTTAACTTTTAATGTGAGCTGGCAGTTGCAAACTAGAAGGCAGCAGTCCCACATGGCCAGCTGCTCCCTGGGGAAGGGGCTGGGAACAGATTCTCTAGCTGCAGCCAAAACCTGAATGTAGTCCTGGTGCAAGCCATGCAGTACCATCTGCTTGTGCTCACATTCTGAACTGCTCCATTCTTTGCAGAGGGGCATCAACCCTGAGGTATGCTTAGTGGTAGCATACACAAAGCTTAGCTGCAGGGGAGGCCCGGTCCTTCCCTCCAGTGCGACGATGCAAATTACCTTGTCCACCTCCCCTTCCCTTCACCTCCACTGGCCTCGCCACCACAGCGGCTGCTTCCTAGCAGCTGCTTCAAGCCCCACTCCCTGTGGACAGCAGTGCCAGGGTGCAGAAGGGGATCTCGACCAGCCTGGGGCCCACGAGTTTGTTTGCATAGGGCCCACTAAAGGCTTCATCTGGCCCTCAGCATACATGTTGGGTTTATTAGAGACTGTCTTAGCTGTGCCATTTGGCATTTATTTGTTGTCACAGGAGGGCAGCCAGTCAGTAGATTCCTCTTTGCCTTTCTGCATCCCAGAGGCTTCTTCAATTGCTTCCTGGCTAGCAACCCTCATGCCTTAGCAGCCAAGCCCTCCACCTTTGCCTGGATGCCATCTGCAGTCCTCAATCCACACATCAGTGGCAGAGTATCGAAGCTACAAGGCAGGCTACACTGCACTGCCTTGTACAAGGCAGGCTAGACTGCACTGGCTACCTTGGCGGGCAGGGGCAAGCAGAAGTCAGGGGAAGGAGGAACTTGTTGTATAAATCCACAGTACTTCCTGCAATACAGAACTGAATTACATGCAAGAGTTGACAAATCCCTCCTCTCCCCCCAGCCTGCGGGAGAAGAGCCCTGATCAGGACCCTGTCCCACGGGTGGTCAGGGAGACCATTGCCCATCTTCAGGAGCATGGTGAGTGCCTAGTGGAAAATGTCAGCCCCTCCCAGTCATGTGCAGGTGTCCTCTGCTTCCTTCATAGGTGATGCTGGGGGAGGGGTGGGGGGTGGCATGTGCCCCCCCTGAGATTGGCCACTGCCAGCTTCTGCTGGGGGCTGCTGCTCGCCATGGTGCCCCCGCTTCCAGTCTTGGGAGGCACCAGTCGTTCATGGCTTCCTTGGAGCTTAGTGGAACAGGGGAAATGACAGCAGTACAGCATAGAGTCCAGATGTGGCTGGGGAGGCCCTGCAGAGAGATTCTGCCTTGCCCCCCTGGCTGTGGTTCCTGGGGTTAGGCAGTGTTGTGTGCACAGATGTGACACACCTGGGAGAAGTAGTCACTCTTTGCCACCCCTGCATAGTACTGGGGCTGCATGGGAAGAATTGCAGACCTCTGGTGAGGTGCCCTGCCTAGCCTGGGGTGGTGGCTGTTTAATGTCCTACAAACCTCAGTCTTCCCATCTTGACAGTTCTTGGTATGAGCTCTCCCTTTTCCTCTGCACTCACACCCTAGCTTTGGTCACAGAAGGGGTTTTCCGGAGATCAGCAAATACGCAGGTTGTCAGAGAGGTCCAACAAAAATACAACATGGGTAAGTGCCCAGCCCCTTCCGTTCCTATGACTCTCACCTGTGAGCCTGAGTCTTGGCTGCTTTCTAGTGCTCTCATCAAGCTTCATTCTCTGTCTCCAGTGCTGCTGGAGGGGTTGTGCTCGAGCAATACAAAGCACACACTCTCCCAGCCCTGCTCCTGGAGATGAATGTTTCCTTTTACCTATCTGGTCCCTCCGGAGCCATGTCTTTCCTTGGCCGGCAGGGCTGTGCCAGAGAACATGCTTGGGCCCAGGAACAGGTCCTATTTTGTCATGATGTGCCTTGGGGGATGTGGTGCTGGGTAGAGTTGTTCCTTCTGCCCTGTGGATTAGCAATGCTGACACTGGGGTAGGTCCTGCTCCCAACAATCTCTCTTCCCCACACTCCTCCCAAAGTTTCTTCTGCTCCAGCTCTGAGCTTCAACCTTCTGCCCTGCTCTCTGAATGGAGTTGTGCATCTTCCCCTGTCCCTGGCAGAGGGTGCTCCTGTTCTGGCCTGGGGCTCTGAGCTGGCCCCTGCACTTCCTCTGTCCCCAGGGATGCCAGTACATTTCGAACAGTATGAGGCTGTTCACCTCCCTGCTGTGATCCTCAAGACCTTCCTGCGGGAGCTGCCAGAGCCTCTCCTCACTTTCAACCTCTACAGCCACGTTGTCAACTTCCAGAGTGAGTGGAGTGGGAGGGGGGATGGGAGGTGGAGCACAGTCAAGTGGATCCTGATCTCTCTGGGGAAGGACGTCATCCATACCATGCCATGCACACAGCTGTTTCCTGATGCCATCCTGGGCAGTGATACCATTCTGAAGAATCCAGGCCACCTAGATGAGGTTCATGCTGGGCGAGCCTCCTGGAAGAGCAGGGTATCCTATGTGGGATTGGCCCTGGGAACTGGGCCTCCCAGTGGAGTGCATGGTGTGAGACTGAATCTTTCTCATTCCTATGTCCCTTCTGTTTCCCTTTCAGATGTGGAAGAGATAAACCGTGTAGACACTGTTCGCAAAATCCTTCAGACACTGCCTGAAGAGAACTACCAAGTACTCCATTTGCTGACGGCCTTCCTGGTGCAGGTGAGCTACTCCATCTAGCTCCAAAGGGAAAGTTCTAACATCCTCCCCTCCCCTTATCTCAGTGTGTTGACCCAGCTGCCAACTCCCTCCTCATGCTCATGTGCTGCCCAGCTGAGAGGAGGTGAAGGCTGGACCAGGAATCTGCCCTCCTTTCTCCCATGTCTTCCTTACCTAGGCATTGGAAATGTCCCTTCTACTGGGGCTTGAAGGATAGGACAGCAGCTGCGATGGTGCTGCCATTGTTGTTTTGTGGAGGTCACTGGGGTCTCCTTTCTTCCTTTCCACACAGGTGTCTGATAACAGTGATGTGAACAAGATGACAAACACCAACCTGGCAGTGGTTTTTGGCCCAAATCTCCTGTGGGACAAGGATGTGGCCATCACCCTCAAAGCCATCAATCCCATCAACACCTTCACCAAGTTTCTGCTGGACCACCAAAGGGAGCTCTTCCCGGACGTGGAGGCCTGAGCCTGGGCCAGCCCACGCTAGCACACTGTGCCCACCTTCCCGCCTCCTTTCCTACCTTGTTGCGGAGCTGTGACCAAGAGTCTTCAGTACAGAGGGGCCATTGGAGCTCCAGGTGATGAGTGGAGCGAGAGCTGTGGAGACGGTGGAGTGAGTGTGTGAGTGAGCAAGCAAATGACTGGCTGCCCAAGGTGGAGTTGGGGAGCCGGTCTCCCTGTTCCTGTGTGTTGGAGTCCTGTCCTACAACCCAATCCTGCACAGCTCCTCCAGGGCTCATCACTGGCCATGCTGCCCTGTAAGATGCCTTTCTTTCCTTCCTTCTTCTTGTGTGTTGTTCTGCTCTCCTGGGTCTCCCAGCAGATCCTCTTCTGTGCAGCCCACCAAAATCCTGGTTCATTCTTCCTCCTTACATCAGGGCCAGGCTGGGTTTTCCTGGAGGTTTTCCTGGAGTTTCCTCGGGCAGGTCTCTTGCTGTCAGCCCTTCCTCTCAGGATTGGAGTTTGTGTTGTCTTTCCTCATCTGTGCCTGCAGCAGGTAATTGGGAACAGGCAGTCCTTGTGCTGTAGGTGTGGTGAGAACAGCACCCCTTGCCACAGGATAAGTGCCACCTTATGCTCTGGGTGCGCAGCAGGCCAGTGAAGGAGAATCTGACTCTTGGGGTATCTGGACTGTGGGTAATTCTTTCTGATCAGGTGAGCATTGGAATCATGTGGGGACAAGTGCCCTGGTGGTGTTAGCTCCCCAAACTGCCAAATCCCACAGTGGACACTGCCTTTTCCCTATAGCTGCAGCACAGGGATGCTTATTCCTACTGACCCACCCACACTTACACACCTGCACGTTAGTTGTGGACTGGCCAGCAAGGGACCTAGGCCTTTAGCTGTGGCTGTGTTTTCTCTTCAGTATGAGGGAGCTTCTTTCAGCACGCATGTAATTAAGAGCATGGCCTGGAGGGAAGGGCCTGGGCACTGATGCCAAACCTTATCCCAGCATGTGAGAAGCCTGGATTTACAGAAACCTTCCCAGATGCTGAGCTCTCCCATGTGTCATAACTGTGAGAGGAAGCCTGTGCCATGCAGGGGGCCTAGCCCCCTCTCCTCAGTGGCCTGGACTCTTGGTTTTCTGCATTCCCTATACCCTTGGCACTGATGGAGGGACTGGGCTCTGCTGGATAGGTTCAGGAGCAGAGTAGGCCAGATTCCCTCCTGAGGCAGCTACACTGCAGTCATTGCCCCCAGTGCTGGCTTCTTGTATGCTAACCTAAGAGGGAGCTAAAGCTCCCTCTCCTTGGCCTGCAGGAGATGGGCTGCCACCTTGATGGAATGAAGCTCACCAGCTTCCAGCCTCCATCTCTGGGCTAATGCCCCGCTCCTTCTGTGCCAGCACTAGTCCCAACCGCACTAGGCCACTGGGCAAATACTTGGACCACATAAGAGCTCTTTTTATAAGCATGTTTTGGATACTAAATGGAAGCTTTTTAACAGGATTTGAATCTGCCCTTGAAACCATCCCAGGGCTGGTTTCAAAAAAGGTGAGACACTGCTGATGAGCATCAACAGCAGAAACAGGGGGCTTCTCTGCTAGGCCCTGAGGGCAGGGAACCAGCCAAGGCAGGAACACCACCCAGACGCTCTGAGCTAGCTCTGACTATCCTGTCTTATGGGTGGCATGTGGGGTAACCCCAAAAAGGGTGGGATCAGCGAGCTGAGAATTCTTATGCAACACCAGAGAATAGACCCTGCATCAATTGGTTCAGTCCTGTCCCTGTGCAGGGCACTGGCGAGTGTCCTAGGGGACTGCAGGACCCATGCTAAGGTGGGGCCCAGGCCTGGAGATGGACCTGGCTCTTGTAAGGATTGTATTCTTCCTCTTTGGCTGGGCCCTTAGTGCCTTTTACTGTGAATAACTGCCTGGAGTTGAAAAATGAGCTTTGGTGAGTCACCGGGAGCTCCTAGTAGACCCGTCTTCCACCAAATCCAAGGTGGAAGGTAGTCTTACCATATAGTGAGCTCTTGGGAGTGCTGGAGGGACACTCTTCACTGCCACTGAGGTCAGGGTAGGCACGTGGGAGAGGTACAGCTCTACACTTATCTGATCAGCAGCCTGGAATCCAGTTAGGCCTGTCTTGGTGGAAATCTTGGGAGAAGGGGAGTGCCTGTGAAACCCAGGGTGCAGCTGCTCTTTCCCTTTTCTCATGGGAGATTCCATGAGACTGCATCCATTTCAGAATGAAGCAAGGCTGGGTTCTGGCATCCTCCAAGCCAGCTAAATTGAATGTCTGAGCCAGCTAGTCTTCTTGGGAACAAACAAATGTTAAGTCCAGTAGCTTGGAACAGGAAGTGTCTGTATGCTGGGGCACAAGGCCATGGCTGCAGGCTGTGCCCCTGCTCCCTGGGGAGGGCAGTGACTTCTAGCCTCTGGGCAGAACTGGTCACACTGACCCTTGGCTTTCAATGCTAGGAAGCATAGGCTGTATTTGGGCCAGGTGTTTTGTTGGCCTCATAGAAACTTACTTTTAAAACTGATTTCATGGGATTTTCTGGAGAATCATGGAACCTATCCCCACCCCCGCTTGGGAATAAAGCCTAACTTGGGGTCAGAGCCCTGTGTGGGGAAAGGAGCAGCTTGGAGGAAGTTCAGGTGACTGGTACTGCTCATGGTGGGAAAGTGCTTGCGAAGCCCTGGAAGAGTCTCAATGTAAATATCCTCCTTCCTTTGCCCCACCCCTTGCTGGAGCTGCCAAGAGGCCTGGAGCAGGCCTGGCAGTGATGGCTGCTTTTGCTTCTGCGATATATTTGCCTGGATGCCTTTCATAACAGCATTACTTTTGTGGCTTGTGTGTGGAGCTGTGACTGGGACCTGACCATAGCCTTCAGCACTCTGTAGTGGGTGGAAGGAGGATAACTGAGTCTGTCTGCCAACCAGCTCTATCCTGTGATTCCCCTCATAGTCGTCACAGCCTCCTGACGTGGATGCTCTATGCCAGGCTAGAGCAGGAAGCCGGGCAGTAGTACAGGCAGCTAGAATGGTCAGAGGACCAGCGCTGTTTGAATTTTGTTTGAAGGGGTTGGTTGCTGGTGGGGCTGGAATTACTGTTAGTCTCCTTCACTGTGTCAGCCTAGTGGGTACAGCTGCCCAGCTCCCTTCCCTAGCTTGGCTTTCAAATTAGCTGTTAGCCATAGTGCCCTTGTGGGGGTGGAACATTTTGACTCCCCTCTGCACCCTGCTGTGGGCACTCAAACCGTACCCCTGCCTGTCCATTTTAGTGGCGTCTAAGTGGCTCCTGAGCACCTGCTTCTTCATGGGCACCCATCTGTCCTGGAACTGGAACCTTTGGATGATGCAGGTGTTGGTACAGCCTGGTGGAAGCCTCATGGCAATGTCTTATTTGACTCCTCAGAGTCCTCTGAGGGCCAAATTGGCCCGTTTGCTTTTTCAGGGGTAGGGGCCCCCGTGCATAACTTGGAGCTTTGCTTTTCCTCGCTGGTGTTCCCTGCCTTCTCCTCTCTGTTGATGTTCATCAGGTGCAGGGGCTGAGGTTTTTACTGTGACTAATTCACATCCATGTTTATTTTCTTCTTGTTGGCACCAATCTTGTATTTCACAGTTTGCACTTTTTGTATTTCAATAAAAATCAAAACCTGACCCCAGATCCTGGTGTATCTGTCCATGCTGCAGCATCTGGGACTGATCTGAGAGATGGGTGGAAAGCTTGTCATTCAGCCAGGTGCAGGTAGGTGCAGAAACCAGACCTGGGGATGGATGGACTTAGCACAGCAGCACCTCTTGGAGTCAACAGCAAGCGCCACTTGCTAAGGAACTTCGTGTGCAAGAACACGAAGGCAGGAGCCAAGCTAAAGCAGGGATGGAACAAGTCAAGCTCCTCTGGTAATGCAGTAAGTGATATGAGCTTGAAGGTGACATGCCATTGTGACCTTGTGTCCCATCTTCATCCCCATGCAAGGCCTGGAGTGAAAAAGGAAATGCTGTTGGCCCAGCTCATGCCAAAATCTCTGCCTTCTGCAGTTCCCGAGGTCAGAATAGTCAATGCCAGGTACGTGTAGGCCTTCTGGGCCCTGTAGTACATTGATTTCTAGTAGTACAGTACTCTGACCATTTGCATTGGTGCAGGAAGTGGGGGAGGGTTTTGTGACCCATCTACACAAATACTGAAGTTAGATTCTACCTCCTGACTTGAGGGCAGCCATATTAAGCGGTCACTGTTTTGAGTTTCTCAGCTAAACCTGGTCTCAAGAGTTGTACAGGCTGCTACCGCTAGACGAGGGAGATTGATCTGGCTGTGGATGATGACAGTTTAGCTCCTCATTAGCCATTTTGCATATTCCTCCAGTTTGTTAATTAAAGTGGATACCATACCATTGTGTACTGTAAGGTTACTGTTTGACATCCCAGCCTTTGACTGCAGGCAACAACTCACATCTGAGTTTAATCTCGGTTTAATCTCAATGCCAGCAGGAGTGGAACAAGCCATGCTGTGCAGTGGATGCCTGAGCTGCAGGGGATGAGGGAAGAAAGTGTCATTTCTGTGCCATGAATGAGTGAGAAACCAAAGGACCAAGTCCCCGTGGTGGGGGATTTGGTAAGTGGGTAGGTTGTCCTTCCTGAAAGTCCAGCCTGGAGCAAAGGGAGGCCTTTACCTGCAGAAAAAGCCGTCTTGAAAGTGGTTCATTGTTGCGAGAAACGTTGGCTTTGATGTATCTGCGTTTTTTGTCAAAGTTCCCACTGTTCCCCTGCCCCGCTCTTGCTCAGCTCCTGCACTGGACTAAGACACAAGGAAGGGAAGCTGGAGGGCGAAGGCCCAGCTGGATGTTATGGCTGGGATGATCTAGGTGGGGCTGGTCCTGCTTTGAGCAGGGGGTTGGACTGGATGTGATCTCCTGAGGTCCCTTTCACCTTCATTTTCTATGATTCAGCCCTTGCGCTGGAAACCCACCCTGGCTTGTCTGAGGCACTAGAGATGGGGGGGGCTTTGACAGAGCTAGATACCCGCAGGGTTTTGCCCACCGCGGTAGACAGTAACTCGCCTCCCTGCCCCTGGTCCTCACGGAACCGGCCCGCAGGGCAGAGGGGAGCAGACACGTGCTGGCTCAGTCCCCATCCCTGCTGCCCTGGGAAGGCCGAAGCCGCGTTCTCTCCCGAAACAACCCCAGGCCGAGGTTCAGGTTTGTCCCGCACCGCCCTTCCCCGCGGCTGCAGCACCTCCCAGGCCCGTGCCCAGGACACATGCTCCCGCCCCATGGCTCCGCACGGAGCCGTCTGCGCAGGCGCGGCAGAGCCGGGAGGCGCACCCGGGTCAACGCTGCGGTGGCCGGGGCAGGGGTGGGACTCGGCGTGGGGCACTGCACGGGGCACAGCTCAGGGGGCGTGACCAGACCCAGCCTGGCCCCGCCCCCCCGCCCGCGCCTCGCTCACGCCCTCCCGGGCGGCGATTGGGCAAAGGCCGGCCAATGGAAAAGTGCCCGTCACCTTGGAGACCTTCGGATTGGCTGGCGTTAGCCCCACCTCTTGCATTGTTGCGTCGGCGGCGGTCCGAGCTGCCCTGATAGCGGGGCTGGACCTGGCGCTGGCGGGGCCCTTACGGCTCCCTCCGCTG